ACCAAACAAACATGTATATGTAACTCCAACCATGTAATGCAATCTATATGATGTATATTTGCTACATCAATACAAGGCCTTCCCTAAAGGAAGGGCCTCATTTGTAATCGACTGCAAATACTAGTGGATTCATTCACACTGGGACCAAACAAACATGTATATGTAACTCCAACCATGTAATGCAATCTATATGATGTATATTTGCTACATCAATACAAGGCCTTCCCTAAAGGAAGGGCCTCATTTGTAATCGACTGCAAATACTAGTGGATTCATTCACACTGGGATAGGCCCAGTGGTTTTTTCTCCTTTTTAGGGGTTTTCCACGTAAAAACTCTGATGTCTCTTGTGAATGCTACACCCTCTCTTTTTCTGTGTGTGTGATGGATCTTCGTACAATGTTAAGATGTTAAACTATATATTTCTCTACCGCCGCGAATACTCCAGGACGCAACAGGGATAGTTACTCAAATTTAGGCTTCGTTTGGGACGATTTTCTTACTACTTCTTAAAGCAATTTTCTTAGTACAAAAATTAACTTTTTTGTACAAAAAAAAAGCTGATGTAAAAGCATTAAGTGCATTAAGTGCTCGGTGATGAATTTACAAGTATGCATTAAGTGCTCGGTGATGAATTTACAAAATTAGTTTTAAAAAATAAAATAAACTAGTTTTTCATATTTTTTTTCACTTCTAACATGATTTAGTTTAATTAATATGCTGATATATTTTTATTAATTGGAATAGAAAAATATTAATATATCAATAATATTTAATGCTTTAATAATGTTATGCAATATATATGCACCACATGAAATATTAAAAGTTCACGTAAGTGTATTAATGGTCATAGAAAGATTTTCTTTTTTTTTGTGCATCCTTGCACAATTAATAACAATTAGAATAATATGCATAATATGATGCCTAGTACTCATTAGGTAATGGTAAATTACATCAAAAAAGGAAAAGTTCTAGACCTTTCTTTCTCACTCATTTAAATGCCTCAAATTAATAAAAACAAGTGACCGAGGAACTTGGCAAAGTGACATCTCTAAGTAATTAATAAAAAAACTCTTAATTAATTCGTTATTAAAAAACATTTACAAGGAGATTATGGGTTTGTTTGGGATAGCTTTCTTGCTGCTTTGCTTTTTAGACAAAAAACACAATTTTATTTGGCTACTACTTTCTTGTTGCTTTGTCAATGCATTTCAAAAATTTCTATGATGGAAAATTAATTTTTTGCAACAAGAATAAAAAAGTTGTTTTCCCCACAATAACTTCACAGTCAACTTTATAAAATATTATCGTCCCAAACAATCCCTATGTTTGTTTTATTGTTTGCAATTTATCTTTAATAGCAATAGTAAAAAATTGCATACATTAAGGATTTGTTTGGGATAACATAAACTTTTATGTTTATGCTTTTAAAAGTTTTTTTTTTGGGGGGGGGAATCTGATTGTGTTGATAAATCAGGTTATTTAATTGCCTTGGACCTCAAGTTTATCGTGCATGTTGAGGGGTGCGG